TGATGATCGGGCATAACTGGGGAAACTCATCTTTCGGAATTGATTTCCTGCACCATGCATCTAGTTTCTAGCCATAAATGAATACAACTGTCATTTCCAACCTTGAGTCCATTATATTTCATTGACTCATTCTATAAGATTCCTCCTCGTAAACTTTTCCAGTATGAGGTTGTAACTTCTTAAAGGAATCAGCCAGACATTTCTTCTTCTTGTCTTTTCGTTTTTCCTTTAAAAATTCATGTCACCCCAACTTACCAATCAAGTACGTCGCATCCGTGCCACAAAGGAGTGGTGGGCTGGGGTGATCCCTTCACCCTTAACCAAAGGTTTCGAGTTTGAGTTCTCAGAATGGTTTACCCTCTTAGAGAGCCTATTCGGCGTAGATCCAGATTTGTTTGTTGGACCAGTGAACTTTGGTTACTTGTAGATGGTTAAACTGAAGGGGAAAAAAAGTACGTCGAATCCATGAGGCTCAAAGATTCGAATCCTATGTTTTTAAAAAGGTCTTAACCTTTCCTTCTTCATTATGGATGTAAATTGTAACAGTAATGGAAATGAAGGTTTACAGTTAATGATCTTGAGGGAATCCGTTAACTGTAATTTATACTACAAATTTTATTTTAAGCAAAAGAATGTTTGCTGGTATTTGACTTATGATTTTAACTCAAGGCAACTCTTGCAATGAGAGCCTCTCTTGTATGCCATTTCCTTGATCTGCACTGTCATGCTTTGATTGGTAATCCTGTCCTTTTAGGCTCTTGTAGAAATGGTTTGAGGTGAGAAGCAAGCCGAGCAACTCAATCATATTAAGGATAAAGAGAACAGTTGTTCATTTGTATTATAACTTCACATTGCCTACATCGAGTCTGTTATGTAGGCAGTGATGGAGGCAGATATATCACTAAAAGGATTAAAAAATACGCTAAAGTGTGACACCTGGATGACATACAATTTGAAAGATAACATTGATATTCTCCAAGCTTTTCTTGTTGCTTTGACGCTAGAATCAATCTTCCAAAGTTCTCGTGTTTTCTATCTTTTGTTCTCTAGTTTATTTCCTTTCAGCAATGTGAATCTAAGTTCTCTGAACTTGGAAAATTGCTCAGAATTTTGTGTGTTCTCATTCACTCCAAGTTAATAGATAAGGGGTAAATGTAGGAAAGAAAAAAAGGAGCATTAGAATTTCTCTTTTAATTGTTTCCTTTTTGACAAGCTTGTTTTTTTTGGATTTTGTGGTTTTCTGCAATACTGAGTTTGGTGCTAAAGCAAAGAAGTTGTTGGGCACTCTCTCTTCTTTCTTCTCTTAGAAGATTTAGAGGAGGAATTTCTTCATCATTATGTTGAGGATAGATTTTTTTAATTACTTCTTTTAACCATTTAACCCAGAAATCTTAAATTTCTACTGAACAGTGCCAAATTTTTGACAGCTAATGATAGCAAAAGTAAGTGCAGCATGTAAAACAGAAATCCCAAATTTCTGCATGTGTAGCATAATCTGTATGGCATCTTTCAGGTTATACAATCACTGTCGCAAGTGCAAATAGGCAAATAAACCCAATTTCACTTGATTCTTGAGACCTCAGCCAGCAACTCTAGAAAAGGGTTTAACCTTCAACATGTTGATCCTTCTCATCTTAAATGATTTTGGAATGAGAGATATCAATATCACTTCATTATTTTCCCAAATAAACTGTAGAGCTTTAAAAGACACAAAAATCATATCTCAATTGATCTTGATTAGGGGCGGCAATTTGAGCCCAAACTCATTCAACCCGCCTAGAGATTAATGGGTTGGACTACAAACATTTTAACTCATGGGTCTATTTGGGCTGAGCCCGAATTAACCCATTATTTTTTATAGCCCATTTTGACCCATTAAACAGCCCAAATACAACCCATGAAACTCATCCAAAACAAACGGATCTCAACCCAACTTATCTAGAAATTTAATTAGTTGTCCCAATTTTACTTTTTTTTTTTGTATTTTCAAATTTCTGTTTTTTGTTTTTCTGCACCATCCACCCACCCATACCACCCTACCCCCAGCCCCACCTACCCCGCAAACCCCCTCAAAAAAAAATTTTCTTTTACTTTTTTGGATTTTCAATTTTTCAAAGATAATGCTTGNNGCACCACCCACTCTACCCCCTCCCCCCTACCCCCCCTCCCCCCACACCCGCATTTTTCAACTTACACATTTTAAGGTAAAAAGGCTTTTTTATGCAAGATTAATATGGTTCTAAAACATGGGTCAAACTGGGCGGGTTGGGCTATGACCTATTGTTTAGCCCATCTTGACCCAGCCCACCTTAGCTCAAGTACACTTTGGGCTGGGTTGGGCAATGACTCATTTATTGACATAATCCATCTTGACCCGCCCAAATTCAGCCCAACCCGTCCATTTGTCACCCCTAAATTCTTGATAGACTTCACTCGGTTCTACATCATGTATGTAGCATAGAATACTTATCAAATCAAATATGTAAATAAATAAAAAATTAACAAATCAAAATAGTGTGATGCTAAATTTCTTCTTTAGCACTATCTCCTACATAATCACTTTATATTAGTACATCAATTGATGACCACAATTTACTCACAAGAGACATCTAACCGTGGCTGGAGCCACCTTCTAAGCCATATTACATCTATTCATATGTCTGTCAGTCAT